AAAAAAAACATTTTCACATATTTGAGTCTATAAATATCGAATGAAACTGTAGTTATATTGAAATGAAACTGTAGTTGTGTCAGTGTTGCAAAAATCAGTGGCGCCCCTAAACCGTGGCGATTTCCCCCTACGCGCCCGCCTAGGTGACCGTCCGTCAACGCCTAACTCGGCCGACTTGGCCGCCTAGGCAGCTGCCTAGCGTCTAACTTAGCTAAGTTAACTCATCCATTTCGGTCGAGTTAACCCGATTAGCTCGGCCTTGCTAATTTTTTTTCATTATATGTGTGTGCGTGTATTTACACACACACACACACATATATATATATATATATATATATATATATATATATATATATATATATATATATATATATATATATATATATATATATATATATATATATATATATGCACTGCAGTGCACGATATAATTTGTCTTGTATATTATGTTGGGTTGCAGAAGCTTGATTCGAAATGTGGGCCATTTATAAGGAAAGCCCAATTCAGCCCAAGAGCAGCTGTTGCCTGTTGGAGTGTAGAGATGGGTTTAAAATGTAGCGTGACATGAGACATGCCCAATCCAGTATCAAGTCATATACGGACGGAGTATAATGCTCCGTATATGTGTGTATATACATAGTATAAATTAAATTATACACACACACATATATATATATATGAAGGGAGCTGAACCACTAAGAAGTGATTGAAGATTTGAAGCTGTGTTGGTGCATCTGTGTCCTGTGACGTGCACTAAGCCTCTACTACTACGAAATACGAATAGGAATAGGGCGAGCCCGGGTGTCGGGGCCTGGGTTGGGGATTAAACTTTTGGGAGAAGAAGAAGAAGAAGAAGAAGAAAAAGGAATAGGAATAGGAATAGGAATTGGGCAAGGAATAGGAATAGGAATTGGAATCGGAATCGCTGTTGGCGGAGATTGGAAGAATAGTGGTGCAAAATTGTAGGCAAAGAGCAGGAGGAGCAGTATAGCATAGTGTGGGAAGAGGATGAGTAGGGTTCTGGCGACGTCGAGGTCGGAATTGGAGCTGGATCGACCCAACCTGGAAGACTATCTTCCCACCGGATCCATTCATGAGCCTCTCGGCAAGCTTCGCCTGTATCTGTCCCTCCCCTATCTCCGTCCCTATTTATTTATTTATTTGGATTGTTTCCTAATGCTTTTATTTGATTTTCCTTCAGCCGTGATTTGCTGGATATTTCGCCTACTCTTACTGAGGCTGCCGGTGCCATTGTAGATGTCAGTATTTTCTTCTTCCCTCTTACTTTTTCAACTTCCCCTTATTTGATTTCTGATCCCATTATTTAGCTCTCTTTTATATTTTCTCCTAATTATTCTCATTTTATTTTCATGTTAATTTTACTTAACACCTTCTGGATACCAGCATTTTTATTGTTTTGCCTGTAAAGTTTTCATTTTTTTTGGGGGTGTTTTTTTCCCTCCACAGGATTCCTTTACAAGATGCTTCAAGTCTAATCCTCCTGAAACTTGGAACTGGAACATTTATTTGTTTCCTTTGTGGTGTTTGGGTGTTGTAGTCAGATATGGACTTCTTTTCCCATTAAGGTTAGTATTTCTTCTTCCCTCCATTTCCAAGACTATGAGTTTTTTTTTCTCTTTGTGCCCTTCATACCATAATCACTCCGTGTCTGGTTAATGCCAAAAAAGTTCTTTTTATGTTACTTTGCTTATCATTTCCTAATTAGCAAGTTCTGGAGAAAATTTTGTAATTGGTATTTGAACAGTCAATCTATAGATATAAGATTAATTTATTTTACCCCAAGTCAGAATTTAGAATGCCATTGTACCAAAATATTTCCTTTCTTCCTTGAGAGAAGTTGTCTTGCAGTCTGACCTCTCCTAGTTGTAATACAGGGCTATTGTTTTGACAGTAGGATGGATAATATTCTTGTCATGCTACATTCCTGTGCATTTTCTGCTCAAGGGCCATGATAGACTCAGGAAAAAATTGGAGGTATGGGTGTATGATTGCTGCACCTTTTTTTTTTTTTTTTTTTTTTTTTTATCATATTTCTTGAGTCTGCTCATTCACTGTCTTAAGCTTCCTCTTATAGTTTCTGATTTGGGTTTAAGTTAATTTGCAATATTATTGCTCTTTATTAAGACCTATAAGTTATTTGGTTGGACCCAAATTCAAAAGTTAATCTGAACTCATAAATTGCATTACATTTTGAAGAAGGTTTTCTTTTCTCATTAAATAACATAGCACTTTGATGGAAATGCTTCTGTCATGATTGAATTATGTTATATTTCTGGTCTTTAACCTCTATTGCCTTTTATATTAGGTTCGGCATATGTCTTACGAATCTAATTTCTTACTGTCTTGTATTGGTTATTTAATTTTTAGCGAGTTCTGGTAGAGTTGATATGCAGCTTCTTTGTTGCATCATGGACTGGTGTTGTCAAATACCATGGTCCCCGGCCTAGCATCCGGCCTAAACAGGTTAAGCTAGAGTCCCATTATTTTTCTCATCTTTCTTTCTACTAGACAAATGCAAAGCACACCACCTGAGGTTCCTTTGATTATGTGAAACAGGTTTTTGTGGCAAATCACACGTCAATGATTGATTTCATCATTTTAGAACAGATGACTGCCTTTGCTGTTATCATGCAGAAACATCCTGGATGGGTTGGTAGGACTTCACTTTCTTCATGTTGTTTCTCTTAGATCTGAAACTACTTTGGCCTGTAAACTGGTGCAACTAACTTGGTAAACCTTTCTCTTGAAAGAAAGAAATTGACACTATTCATTTAGCAGCAGCTTAAAGTGGGTGTGAATTTTAAGGCATATAATCTTTTTAGTCCATTCATGGCAAAATGTATTACAGGTAGAAGTGACTATTCTAAAATAACTCTTCCCCCACCAACTTCCACCTTCCCCTGCCCTTTTGCCCTTCCAGTGGCTAGCTCTCACTCCCTCTTTGGCCTCCAGTTGCTGGCACCCCTTCCAACCTTCAGGGAGATTGCTTTGGAGCCTTCCTCCTCCCTTCTCTGTTACCCTTATCCTTCCCACCTGCTTCTCCCTCTTCGTCCAAGCTTACCTTAATGCCCACTCTCATCCCAGTGCTTGTACCCCACCCCCTGCTTCCAGGAAACTGAAAACCCCACCCTTTTCATGACCCTTCAAATTGGCTACTGTCATGACCCTTCCCAAGTCCCCTACTTAATGATATATATGACAAATTAGGATGACAGTTACTTGATTTTGCTTCAATATTGGGAATGTCAAATGTGGTCTAGTTGAAGAACGTTAAGTTTTGGGGAAGAATTTGTGAAGAAGGATATTTTAGTCTTGTTATGTTTACATGTGCATTTATTTGAAGAAAATGAAGTACAAGGTAACAAATAGAAGTGTTTTCTATGTAAAATGAAATGCATTTCTATGTGAACTAGCCCTGAGAATTTCTTGGAGGAATGAGAAAAATGGATCTTAGTGACAAAGAATTTGTTTTAAAATTGTAAGACACCCTTCTTCTTCCTTTTTGGCTGCAGGATTATTGCAGAGCACCATTTTAGAAAGTGTAGGATGTATTTGGTTCAATCGCTCAGAGGCCAAGGATCGTGAAATTGTAGCAAGGAAGTATGTGATAAGATCTGGCCTTGAATACTTTTATTTTTAAAAGGAGGCGTTGATATTCTTGGTTTCTTTTGCTCACAGTACTATTTCCTTTTCAGGCTTAGGGAACATGTTGAAGGGGCTGATAATAATCCTCTTCTTATATTCCCAGAGGGAACTTGTGTCAATAACCACTACACTGTCATGTTCAAGAAGGTAATGTTCTTTCCAACTCCCACTGATAATCTCTCAAACATATTTCATTTGGCTCTGGTGTTAAAAGATCCTTCATTCCATCCCTTGTCCTATCAGAAAAAAGCTTTTTTTTTTTTTTCAGAATTTATTATGGTGTTTCCGTGTACCTTTTACTAATATTCTGATAATAAATAGGGTGCATTTGAGCTTGGGTGCACAGTTTGCCCAGTTGCAATCAAGTACAACAAAATTTTTGTTGATGCTTTCTGGAATAGTAGAAAGTAAGATCTTACTGGTGCTGGTCCAATTTGTTCCTCGTTTTCTGCTTTTACCACCACCTTCACATGCAAAATTCTGAGTGTATTTGGCGTTTAGGAAGCTTATGCTTGCTTTATCTTGCTAACAGGCAATCTTTCACAATGCACCTGCTGCAGCTCATGACGTCGTGGGCTGTTGTTTGTGATGTTTGGTACTTGGAGCCTCAAAATTTAAAACCTGGTGAAACACCAATAGAGTTTGCAGAGAGGTGAATGTCACCAACTACCATAGTTTTCTCCATTAGTGGTTGAATTTTGATGTCATTCACCAACTAACTATACCTTGAATCCCTTATGGATTAATTTTTTTTTTTTAATCTCTGTTTTAGGGTGAGGGACATCATTTCTGTTCGAGCAGGTCTTAAGAAGGTTCCTTGGGATGGATATTTGAAATATTCTCGCCCTAGCCCCAAGCACCGAGAGAGGAAGTAAGTCTACTGTAATTGTTTAATGATTTATTTATTTTTCTTGCAAGTATATGGAGGCTGTTGCTAATTGAATTTCAAATGTTGAGAGTATTTGGTGATGAGGAACGAATACACAGATTTGTTATGACAACTGAGTGTTTCGTGTATTTTTTGATTTTGCAGGCAACAGAGTTTTGCAGAGTGTATACTCCGTGGCTTGGAACAGAAGTAGAAGTTGAAGAAATGTTGTTAAGCACACTTTTTGTTCCGCTGTTACAATTTTATTCGAATGACCCACCATTTTGTATTTTATTTATTTGGACAAAGCAATTTTATTCAAGTGAAGTGACCACCTTTTTGCATCATCGTATTTAGCTTGCTTGCTTGCTGTCTGCTTATTTCACAATTTAAAGTTAGAAGTTGAAACTTGAAATCACCATATTCACCAGCCAGCAATGAAAAAAAAAAAAAAAAAAAAAGGCTCCACGCCAATTTTATTATTATATATCTGAAACGAACAACCCATCCATCCATTATTCATTAATCATTATGATATGCTGCAGGCAGCATTGAAAAAGAAAAGAAAAATAATACGGAGTACTAATACTCCCCAATCGATAAATCAATATAAGATGGAGAGGAGAGGGAAAATCTAATCTATATTCATTCTACTCTTCTGTCCAAATTTGCAATGACAGCATCCACCACTTGCTGAGTGGTGCTGCTTCCTCCAATATCTTTGGTCCTGTGTTCACCTTCAGCTATTACGCGCTTCACCGACGCGTCTAATCTATCTGCAAATGAAGGAAGTTGCATGTGCCTTAACATCATGGCAGAAGAAAGAAGCAAGGCCACTGGATTTGCCTTCTCTAGTGCTATTATTTTCTCATTTCCCACATTTCCAGCTGAGGCACCTTGCTCGAAAATCGCACACTCTGCCCCCACACTTCCTGCACCCACCAACCCACCATTGTTAACACATTGCAAATAAGCCACCCACAATATCACTGTGACATGAAATAAAAATGAATATATGACCACACAAGTACCTCCTGGCATCACACCAGTTCCTCCTGCAATACCAGCTGCTGTATTTGCCACCAGATTCCCATACAGATTTGGGGTCACCTGCCATTTTTAATTTCATCACTCCTCAACAAACGTACTCAAGGTGTACAACATAACATAGCAAATGCCGAGGCCATCAATGTGAATTGAAGCAAAACAATTCTCAAATCACATTGCTTTCTGTTTTGCTTAAAACTTAAAATAGAGCATCATTGCAGCAAAAAATAGTTATAAATAAAAGAGATTAGACTACATATAAGATATAACCCCACAAATTGCAACATACTACAGAATAAATAGATATAAAGAAAATCGAAAGAACAATTCACTTTAAAAAAAAAAAAAAAAAAAACTATAATGCTTCTCACATCCTGCTACAACATAGTGTTTTCTTTATTCCATTTTTAAAAAAGGTAATTTGGCACCAAAAGACCTACCTACCTGGTTCCCAACCCTAACACAAACTAGGCACCATTAAATAGCAAAGATAGTCATAAATTGAATTTTTGCAATCCATCATGTCATTTCTTGGTCCCAAATTATTGGCAATAATAATTCTTAACAACTCTAGTCATGCAACCATAAAAAAGAGAATGTGAATGGTCAAAGCTATATACCATAACATCAAATTGCTCAGGCTTTGAAACAAGTTGCATACAACAGTTGTCCACAATGATCTCATCGTACTCAATATCAGGGTACTTGTTAGCAACCTCACGACAAGATTCCAAAAACAGACCATCAGCAAGCTTCATAATATTCGCTTTGTGCACAGCAGTCACTTTCTTACGGTTGTTGAGATGTGCATATTCAAAAGCATACTTTGCAATCCTTTCTGAACAAAATTTTGTTATCACCTGAAAAATTGAAACAATAGCAAATAGCTAATGATATTCTCAAAGAAATTCATTCATTTTAAATTTTTAACACCCCTAGCAGCTATATGAAGTTAATGAGTAAATGACAATGCTGAAATATAGAAAGTAGAAACCCTAGCTTAGCGATAGTTCATAGTTGTAACCTAGCCCATTAGTTAGACCCATTATATTCTTATATAATGTAGATCCCTCTTAGAAGGTAAGCATTACAATATCATTAATATAATCATTGTTCTTTTTTTCTTCAGCTTTTACATACTTTTCTTCTGCTTAACAGTGGGGTGGTGGCTATTCACCACCTCTTAGGCCTTTCAATACCGCAATTTCAACAGAGTATCAGAAGTCAGAACCCCACAAACAATAGTATCTCCAAAAATTCTGGGTCAGAAAATTAGCATTTCCACTGTGAACAGTACTCTCATGGCCTTTTTTTCTTGTTATAAGCATCTCTGGTGGTTGCCTAAAAATACCAATACCACTACCTTACTCAGGATCTTTTCATGACCAACTACTGGAAAGCCCACCACGGGATCTATCGCCATGCATCACCTGAGTTGTCAGATCCCTAGATTTGTTTTTGGTGCTTATCTCCCATTCCAATGACCTTCTGATGTTACCATATTCACTGTTTGATTCCTTTTCCTTCATCAACCCAGTTTGGAAATTTTGGTTGTCATCCTCCGCTGTCATGCACCAATAAGCCCACTCATGTGCGGGCACATGATATCACCTTTAACAATGGTTTTAAGTGAAATTTTCCCTATCACTTTTTTGCCATTTTCTGATACTACTGGTGAAATATGAAAGTTTTCTATAATTGCAAGCCACCCTTCTTGAACAACAAATTGGTTTTCAGTGTTGTGTTAATTTTTCAAAACTTCTTGGTTCCATTGCTGGATTTCTTTTCTAAGGGTGCTCAATTTTGGCATTGTCATGTTTGTTTCCATGTTATTTCCAGTGTGCCATATTTATTCCTGAAGGTGTTAAATTTTGACACTACCATATTATTTCTAAAAGCCGGTTGATTCTAAAAATGCTGCGATTATTTCCTAAATTTCAAGTAAGTGTTGCTATCAACTATCAACCAGCTATCTTTATTGCTATATGCTTTATCACTGTGAGATAGATGTATCCCTTTTTGTAGATCCTGCTCCATCACCTCTACCACTGCTGACAAAAGAAAGTCCGGTTTGACATTTGTCCTAGAGTGTTTGTATTTTTATGTTGCTTTAAGGCTATTTCGGCCGTATCCCTTGGGTCTTTCATCTTCAAGCGCAAGGGTTCATGCATACTGACGTGTTTTTTGAAGCCATCCACATCCAGCCATGTCTAATCTTCTTTTTGTAGTTTATAATAAGGTGTGTTTGTCTTAATTCAAGTTTGAAACTTTTAAATGTTCCACCTTGAGAGGGAATGTTGAATATAGAGAGTAAAAACCTAGCATAGCACAAGTTGTAACCTAGCCCATTAGTTAGACCCATATATCCCTCTATATAAAGTATGTATATCCCTTATTACAATATCGTTAATATAATCATTGTTCTTTCTTTCTCTGGTTTATACATATTTTGCTTCAACTTAATTAGTGGTGGTGGCTATTTAATCCCTCAATTTCAACAGACAACAACTCAACAAAATAGAGAAATCTTGTAGAAGTACAAGGTGGCTAATAAAGGTTCATTTGAACAACAGGGCAAATTATGTTGGAACATAACAAGCAAATCAAAATCATTTCATTTGGCACCTGGATTAACACGAATGACTGATGTAGCTAATCATTTGAATGTCATCATCTTGAACCTTGAGAGCCACCAATACAGGGTATGAAATAGAAATTTCAAACAAGATTGTTGAATAAGATATAAAGCAGTACTCCTAACAGACTGCTGCTTATGATACCTATCTTGCTCAAAGATAGGTCCAAATTCAGAGTCATAAATTGCTATGCCAATGGTTATAAAAATTCAATAAAACTAGTTCATGTAGATCTTACGGCAGACGGTTCAAAGAGTAGGAGAGTGAGCTAGAAATATGATGATCATAAAATATCGCAGTAAAAATCCATTCAAAAAATTCCTAAAACGCATAACAGTATGAAAGCTGATAGAAGATATAGTGACAGAGGCGCAATTAATAGAAAAGGTAAAGAGTGAAAAACTAAGGCATTACCTTTAAGCTTTCCACAACGCCCGGAATAACCTCGTGTTCAAGGCCGGCATATTCACCCTCGGTGTTTTCCCGAATGACGACGATATCGACATTGTTGTGGCGTGTAGGCAGCCCCTGCAAATTGAAGCAATGGACGCGCGAGGCGTAGAGATCAAGCTCTTTCCTGAGCTGAACGTTGAGGGAGTTGACACCTCCACCGACGGGAGTCTTCAAGCCACCCTTGAGGCAGACCTTATTGTTGCGGATGGAGGCAATGACCTCAGGAGGCACGGTGTTCATGTCTCCGTGGACTTGGAAGCGCTCGAAATGGATGGGAGCGTGCATAGCCTGAAAGACCTGTTGGACGGCACCGGTAACAAGAGGACCGATGCCATCGCCAGGTATAAGGGTGACGGAGTGATTGGCGTGTCCTGCTCCGGCGCCGGCATGGAGAGATCGGAAAGGGGAAAGGGGATTGGATGGGTTGCGTAGCAGTAGGCGTTTGAGGGTAGGCAGTGCTGCCATTGAATCCAACCGATTGCAAATGCTAATATGAAACAAAGTTAGGGTTTGAATTGCGATTGGCTAAATGATGCCACTGCTCATCTATTCTATTCTAGCATGGAGAAGCCATCAACTGAACTGAACTGAAGAGAGGCTGAGAGGGTAAGAACGCTACGTTCAATATGGCGCGGCTGGCAGTCTAGCACAATAAATACAATACAATTTTAGAATCTAATTATTATTTATTATTTATTATTTATTAAAAGAGAGAGAGAGAAGGAAATTCTGTTATACTAGTCAAAATGCCATATTTTTCAGATACGTAAAAACTTAGGCAACTCTGTAACATATTTGAGAATTAATTCATCTTATGCGGGTGAGAATGTAAAAAAAATTAATAATTTTGATATTTATCTATTTTTATTCTCAACTTTTAATTTCAACATAATTCATTTCTCATTAATTTAAGATTCAATAATAAATCTTCATTCAATACTAAATCTTCATGTTAGTTGATAACATGTAAAATGACTTATTAGAAGAATATGTATTATTGTTTTATTTATTATCAATTGTTAAACTATTTTTTAATTATAATTTAAAAATTTATCATTATTGTTGTTGTTGTAACTACATTAGTTTAATTATCAATACAACGACAGCAACTCAACATTAAAATATAAATTTAAAAAACAAAACAAAAAAGAATAACTAAGTCCATTGAACAATACCGTTAATTTTTATTTAATATGGCAGGATTTGTTGATTGATCTAACAATATCTTTGATAGGCTAGTTGGCAGGTCTAACAACATTAATAATTTTCAACCATGTAATTTAAGTTTAAAATTCTATTGAGTAGTTCTGTTGGTTTAAATTAACTTTTTAAAGAATTATGTAAGAAAATGAGTTGTTTTGTGAGAAAAGTTAGAGATAACTAAATAAGGTTATATTAATCTTGTTAGAGATAAAGTTATATTAATTCAATAAGATGATACAAAATTCTACTCCAAGCAGTTTCAAATTTCAGTTGATTGGTTTGAATAAGCTAAGTCAAACAACCATTCCGTTTTAACTTGACTAAGTCAATAAGACAAAGTTGGTGAAGTCAACCATTTTCTACACTACCCTATATCAGTTTACAGCACCACTAACTACTGTAGTATAAAAATTAAAAACTAACAACACGGCAATCAAATTGACATTAAAATTAAAATTCTATAATGGCAAAAGTGAAAACACGTAATACAAAAAGTATGCACGGTTGGTGCGCATATGGAACCACAGTGAAGTCCATTGTGAGCCTACATCAACTAAAACTGTTCAATAATAACAATGCAACACAAAAGTCCGTCACTATGAACCTACATGAACTGTTCAGTAATATCAATGCAACTTCCAAGGATGCTCCTTCCGTTTACAAAGAAAAGAGAGAAACAAAAAACCATCAAAGATAAAGAATACAGAAAGCATAACAAGATAACAAGATCTTTTCTACAATATATATATAGAGAAAATGAGCATCATGGCCAAAAACCTCATTCTGGGTTCAAATATATCATTTTGTCCATAACATCGTCCTGCTTAAAGCGCATCCTAAGACACACTGAACAACACAATTGGTTTGCTTCTGAGATCCATATATGCTACTGGGCTGGGGCAGCTACCCCACTGCTTCCTAATCCCATCTTCTTACCCAGCAATGCAAGCTGCTCAACAAACTCACCTCCTGTAAGAATTTCTGTGGTTCCATATATGATATGCTTGGGTGGCTGCTGCCGATGTGCAAGATCTTGCAAGCTACCATATTCTACATAATTTCCACCTCCAATCATAAACACAATAGCTTCTCTAAATGGCCCTTTCAAATGGCTGCTACTTGATCCAGCGCTTGACTTGGGAGCACGGGGATCCAAAATAAGGTAAGGATCAACTTCAGGGTTTGGCTTCCCCTCCATTAGTGCTTCAACAATTCTAGACAAAGCTAATTGGTGATCACTGGCTAATAGGTTTTTCACACCAGCAGTTACAGCACCGATTGACTGCCCATATAGCTTTTCTGCCCAATCAACAATGTTTCCCCTACTGGCTGAACTTGCCGAAGCTAAAGAAACATTTAATGATTTCATCTTCTTTACATACTGAAATGCACTTGTATCTACCTCAGACTCTCTAAGAGCAGCTTCAACCATTTCAACTTCAGATTGAGGGATGTTTTCACTTGAAATAAGATAGATGATAGCAAACCGGAGCTTATCCACCTTTGTCCCTTTTCCTTTTAGCACTCCAAGGATCTCACTGCGGTCAATGCCACCTCTGACCATCAAATCATCCTCTTTTTTAGCATATGTATCTAGAGACCTCTCCTTGATTTCTCCCAACAATGCGGTTGCAATATTAGTGTGCTTGTCAATAACCTGTTTTCTTTCAGTCAGCTCAGGGAGGGAATTAACAGCATTCATCAAATGCTTTGTATTGCCAATCAAATCTGTTCCATCAAACTCGGCCCCATCATTACCTCCTGTTCGCCTATTTACCTCCTCAACATCCTTCTTATATTTATTCAACTGGTTCTCAATCTCTAAAGCCACCTCTGGAAATTCCAATGACCCATTTGCCATCCAGAATGGATCAGATCTGTCCAACTCAAAAGATTTCATCCCACTCTTCTCCCCTTGCACACTTAACCTGTTCAATCTCAACCCAAGAACATCATGAACAAGGGGTCTATACCTAAAGTCATGCTGAATAGCAACCGGCAACTCAAAATTCCTATCAAATAAACACAGAACAGGCCTCTGAAATGAGCTAGCGAAATTCCCACCTTCAGAGAATAAGTTGTTTTTTGCCAATAAATGGTCCCGCAGTCGCTGATCCAACAATGATGCCACCATCTCAGCTGGTCCACCACGGGGGCACCTGATGATTGGTACCACAGAAAGCGTAGCCAAAACACAAAATAAACCACTCACAACCTTTTCAATAATCTCCTCAATCTCTTTATCTCCAGCTGATGGATCATTCAACTGAACATAGCAATTCTTGTTGGCAAGTGAAAATAAATTATCTTCAAGGGTCACAAACTCCAAGTACTGATCATGCACTTTTGAGATCCTCTGAATTGAGTCTGAACTGATAGTACCTGGGGAAAATAAAATCATATACATTCACCAAAGTAAGGAATAAAATCATATAATCATTCGAGATTTCTTCAGCACCTAAACTAAGCTCAAGCATTTGAATCCAATCTTCTTTCAAAATCAAAATAAAACAAAGGCCAAAGCAAAAGAATATGGTGACCTGCAGTCAATTTCTAAGGTGTATTAACAGAATGAGGCATGGCTGTGATCAATTCCGAGCTAATATTACTACAGCAGGTAATAGATCTTGAAACGAAATCAAATCACCAATTCAAAACCTATGCTACTAATCGAGAAATAAGAAAAACGGAAGGTATTAATGGAATTGGTACCTGAGGCCAGATCCTCCAGCAAGGGTCTAGGAATGGAAGAAGAGAAATTGAGATGAAAGGAGTCGTAGAGAGACTTGGAGGCGTCGGAAACGATTCGCTGGACGTTGGAGTGGGTTGGCTGGACAAAGTAGACGGCAGGAACGTCGTGGACGGGTTTGCGATCCTTGTCGATGAGGAAGTAGAGGGTGACGCCGTGCTTGCGGAGGTCCTTTACATGGATGAGCGGCGACAATATGTCCTGGCAGAAGCGGTCGTAGATGAGGATCTTATACACCTCCTCGTTCGCCGTCCCTCCGGCATTCACCGGCTGATTTAGATTCAACATCCGCGTTATGCACTCTACCATCCAAGATCCCGTAAAAATGCAAGGATCAGTCAGATTCAAAACTCAATTTACACATCCACATAGAAAGAGATCGATCCGGAAGGAAAAGGTAGAAGTGGATTACCAGTTTGTTTTTGACGAAGATTGAGTGCCATTGTAGTAGTAGTAGTAGTAGTAGTAGTAGTAGTGCTGCTGCTGATAGTGAGGTGTCGGAGGCGAGAAGAACGATCAGAGGAGAGGTTTCCCTTGGCGGAGAGTCGGAATACCCAAATGAAATCTAAGCAGTTAAGCTACGGCCAAGGTGAAGCAGTTGACATTGTACCTTGTGCGTTTGTAGTTGTACCACTTCATTTTATTTTATTTTTTATTTTTTATTTTTTGTTTTGACTTGTCGGTTTTGATACGACATCGTTTAAAGGATATTCTATGAAACTCGATCTCCAACTCCCCTTCCGGACACCAAGAATTCGAATGCAAGAACTGTAACCACAAAACGATAATGGAGAAGACGGCGATTCTGAAAGAGTGGTTTGACCGGGTTGACTCGGACAAAACCGGAAACATCACTGCAATCCAACTTAAGGTCGTTTCCTTTCCAGCTTATTTGTCTACGGAGTATTTATTTATTTATTTATTTCGTCTTTTCCTCTACTTACTACTACAGAAATGTAAATCAATGTGTAGTGTGCTTGTTTTTTCACTGATGAATTATGTGATCAGAGTGTGTTCGCCATTGGAAATTTAGAATTCCCTATCTCCGTTGTGGAGCAGATGATCAGAATGTACGACTTTGACAGGAATGGAACCATGAGTTTTGATGGTAGGGATACTTCTCTTTTGTTTATTGCCTCTGTTGGACCCATCTGCTTCTGCTAAGCATTTTGGAGTTGTTTACATAATCTGATTGAAATTTCCTCTAAAACACTCAAAACCGTATCTATCTCTGTGTGTATATCTTTGAAAAACAAATAGCTTACTAGTTAAGTAATCATAATTCTTAGTATGGATAATTTTCATGGTGAAGGAAGCAAAAGAAAAAGGAAATGATATGTAGGAACTAGGAAGGAACCAAAGGAAATCGAAAAAGATATCAAATTGCACAAGATTTTACTTATTTGAGATTCTCTAATTGTTTTACTACATTAACTTTTATCCTTAATATGTTTGATGATCAAATTGATGTCATAAATGGAAATAGTTATACCAAAGTGTGTTGGATCAAATACATGAGCTTACTTTTGATGCAACTCCTTTCTTTTTCCTCTATCCTTTTATCCATTTTTTATTGCTAAGTTTTTCACTTTTTCCTCAAATTTTTCTCTTCAGAGTTTGCTGAGCTCAATAAGTTTCTTCAGAAGGTCAGTTTTTTCCCTTATTTTTGAAATTTTATTTTTAGATGCCTATCTCTTGCTGTAACACTGGATACAGTGCTTGTCTTGTGAGCTTGCAGTGCACTTCGACTCCCTTGGGTTGTGGCCTTATTATCAAATACTGTTTTAACTGCTCTACTGTTTCTGTTTGTTGCAATGAATTCTTACTGCTTTCTTTTGCAGATTCAAAATGTATTCTCAGGCTTGGAAAGGTGAGTATCTCGTTAACTGAAATCCTTGCACACAGTTTAAATTTATTGGAAATTGCAAGATATATGCTTTTGTTCTTTGTATCTCAGGGGTCGTGGATTTCTTATGCCAGACGATGTATATGAGGTAAGGTTTATACCATCTTTCAAACTTTTGTCCTTTGAAGAGAACTTCACACCTCTTATAATTGATCAAAAGCCCATTTTGTTCTCCACATTTAATTGAAGGTTCTTTACTTGCTTTGATAATTCAAAATTCCATGTATTTATAACTGTAATTCTGATTCCTACACAACTTATGATTTGCATGGGTTTCTAATTTGCACACACATATTTTGTATCCAGGCATTGACTAGAATTGGGTTTTCCCTTGACTCCCCAGCATTCTACACAGTCTGTGAGGTATTTCATGTTAAATTTTTAATAATCAAGATTGCTTGAGATAAAGTAGGCACCATACCCTTTTTCCTGAGTCATTTCCGACAAATGGTATTTGCAATCTTAATTGTTACGCATCCAGAATATGAAATTACTTGTGGTGCTCCCCTATTTTATGATGTGTATCCATTTAGGGGGTGTTTGGTTCAAGTCATATAAGATAACTAAGGTAATGTGAGCATAGTTATGTTATATAACTTTGTTTGTTTCAAGTTACAAGATAACCCACAGTAATGTAACTTTACTGCCGCATCAGATATTGAGGATATGTTAAGGTAATTTGATTACCCTCTCCACCTTAGGTATTGTAAGATTATGTTGGTTATGTGGTATGATTTTCCATCTTTGCCCTTTAAAACAAATGGATATACATACACACATTTGTGTGTGTGTTTATTTATTTATTTGTATATAAATATATACATATATTAAGGGCATTAAAGTAAAATGCTCTTAACATAAAAGATTACTCTCAAGTAAATAGATTAATATTACATTTCTCAATCTTAAGTAAACACAAATTGGCACATTCCTAGTAATATGCACAAGGTAATGTTTTAGAAGAAAATCTTATAACCTAGGATAATCAAATGTTCCAAGAACCAAACACCCCCTTTGAAGAATTTATTGCTCTTGGTCTTCTATCTCCAAAAGGATGCTGCAAATGGTGAATATTTGTGAGGATTTTTACATCTAACCCCTTGAATGTTTTCATGCTTGGTCTAGTGGCTAAATGCTCAGTGGTTGATCATTAGATCCTCAAGACTGGGAAAAACCTCAGAAAGTAATTTCATGGTGGCATACATCTCCCTTCCTAAATCCCCCATGATTCAGAAGCCTTGAGCACTAGTTGCTTATGCTGGGCTCTACAGTCACCAACAAAGTTGTGATTTTCTTTTTCTTGGCTAATAATGTAGTCACAAAGGAAATATTGAAGATATAGTACTAAAAATTGTTTTGTTAATTATTTTGAGGATGATCTCGACTAATGTGGTCTTAATGGGTTCAGAGTTTTGACAAAGCAAAGAATGGGAAATTCAAGCTTGATGATTTCATATCTCTTTGTATCTTTGTACAGTCTGCACGGTGAGTGACCAATGTAGACCGTGCTCTTGTTGCGTGGATGGCATTAGTATGTTATGTAGCTAAGATTCCACATTTATAGTTATCTGACTTGTTCGGGTAAACTAAAGTTTTTTTTTTTTTTTTTGTTTTTTTTTTTTTGGGTTTTTAGGAACCTGTTTAACTCATTCGATACAAGTAAACAAGGCAGGATCAGTCTTGATTTCAATCAATTTTGTTATTGTAGTGAGTTTCTACCTCACTCATTCTCTCTAATTGGCAATTGCTATGCTGTTTTAATGCCTTGTGGCACCTCACCTGAATTACCAACTAAATCTTATTTGTTTTCCTGTATTTTATAGCTGCCAATTGCAGAATATGAAATCAGCATCTCCTATGTGATATTGGGCTGCAAGCCAGAGTCTGAATAATTATGGATTGGAAGGAGGATGGTGTGGTGTTAATGTGTTATCATGTCTGCCTTGAGCTGTGAATATTCTTTCTGCTCTATAGTGCTGAAACCCATTCTTTTTATCTATACTGTCTGTACTAGACTAGATGTCTGATACCCACCCTTTATCGTAAAAGTGTAGTAGTCTTAATGGTTTATTGTAACGATTTTTTTTTTTTTTTTTTTTTTTTTAAATAATGGTGTATTGTAACGATTGATTTCCTTTGAGTTTGATATTTACTTCCCAACAGATGCATATATCGGCATATATGCAATAGTAAACAAATCTATGATTTTTGCTCAAATAAAAAATTGAATTGAACCAATTTGTTTGGGTCAGTTTAAATCGTTTTTAAAAAAAAAAAAAAAAAAAAAAAAAAAAAGCCTTTCTATGTATTGGTATTGTTTGGTTTTAATTTGAATACAAAGTACTAAGCAATTAAGTTCTAATTAGATAAAGCATAAAACTCTATTAAACCTTACAGCACTATGTAAAAGACCATAATGAGGAACTAGTCTAGTGGTTATGAAGTTAAGTGAAGTTTTAGACCAACTTGATCAATTTGGTTAGATTGCCCCCAAAATTGTCACAATTTCTAACAGCCAATAATCAATTGTCATCATTTTTGAATTTTGTCACAATTTCTAACAACCAATAATCAATTGTCATCATTTCTGAATTGTATTACTAATTTGTTGTTAGCAGATTATTCGGTTGGGTGTAGATGCAATCATTTAAAATTTAATTCCTTGACATTCTAAATTACGGTGTTAGGTTGGAGGGAATTACAATTTCCTCCATTCGAGGAATTGAAATTCATAAATCCCCCATGAAAATTCCAATTCGGTGGAAGCTTGAAAAAGGAAAAACAGGAAAATAACTAAATTGTCTTTGATTGTTATTATTATTATTACAGAATAATATTTTAGTCTTTATATCACTTCTTTCATTCTCATTCTCAATAATTCTATTCTTCACTATCAAATAATGTAATTTGAATTACTACTTTATTTCCACCTTATTCTTTTTTCACCGAATTACAATTCTTTTCCTCCCTACCAAAAGCCTCGTAAAGTCTCCTGGGAGATGAGAAACTATGTTGTAATTTGGGTAGAGTAGATGGGAGGTAATTGCAATTTGTAACAAGTAGTGGGATATGAAGGCCAAAATGGAAGTTGGAATTAACCGAACTGGGGAAACTATGGGCTCTGATTTCAGTTGCTGCTGCTGCTGCTTCCTTCCTCTCCTCCGGTAAGACAGACGCAAAGGAGAAAGAATAAACAAAACAAGGTTCCATTTTTTCTGCTCGCACTCTCTCCTACTTCTTTGCTTTCTGTGCTGCGATATTCTCAGGTCACTACACTTTTCCCTTTTCCCTTTTCCATTTCTCTACTCAGCCCTAAGCCAATAATCGATCACGCAATCCAATCCTATAATTCATATACATATATGCATTCCGTGGATACCTGTATACATCAAAACTATTCACAAATGTAATTATTGCTACCGTTAGCAAGTCCTCTCATTGCTAATTTGCTGTTTTTTTTTTTTTTTTTTTTTTTTTTTTTTTTTTTCTATTGCACTGATTTTATTTGCTATCCCGACCGTTGCTTGATTTTACAGAATTAAAGGGAGATTTTGTAATTATCCGAAGTCAGATTTTTGGATGTTTGATGGGCTTGATTCATTCAAAGCTTTTTATTTTGTGTATTGTGCCCAATTGGGTTTGGATTCTGTAGGATGAGGAGTTTTTGCATCTCTAGGCCTAGCTATCTTCTCGGTTACTTGTATTTATTTATTGAGCTGATAATTATCTGTAATAATTATTTGGGTTATTGTGACTTTGAATTGTAGATATACATATATGAAGACTTTCTCCTCTTTGATCACTTACAAATGAAAATGATATATATACCTAACATTAAATTGGTCTGCCAGGGTTAGCTTCTTTTTGATGAAATATGACTATAAATTGGGAGCTTAAGTTCTTCAAGTTTCATGCATCTGTAGATTTTGAATATCATATTTTATGCTATAGGTAGAACCTTAGAGATTGCATACACTTTCTTTTATTTGATAGAGTTGCGATTTGTCCCCTATCTTCTCATAGTCTAGTTGTCAAAGGATTTGGGGTTAGTACTCTTTGGCTCCATGGCCCCTTCTCCTTTATATTTCTTGGTTGTGATGAATAAAAATCACCCAGCACCGTCTTTGGAGGGGTTAGTTAAGACACAGTGACACAACACAAGTTTAAAATAAGATAGCAAATTACCTAACTCATAAAAATCACTAATCTTTTACAATATTGACATCCTCCAGAAGTTTAATTTTGATGCAAGAAAATTATTAGTCTTTACACGTAACAGCTTTTTGTCAGTTAAATATTTATTATGCAAACAACTTCTTTCCAGAAAACACAGATGGCTTCAAGCCTAAAGTAGCCTCAGATTATGAATTATTGACATAAAATAAATTCTCATACCAATTCATAGGTTCTGAGGGATAATTAGGAGTTTCATGTATGGTTAGAGTTTATTTTATTGTTGTATTCTGACATTTTGATCTCATGTTCTGAGTAGCAATTACTGTAGAGTTTGCCTAATATGCATTTTGTGTTGAAAAATGCAGATGGCCTAAATAATGCATGTCTCATGCAACTGTTAAGATTCTTCCTTTGCATGTCACAACTTGTATTTCTTTTTCCATGGATACTGTTTGTTGAGCTATACTATAGGGTAGTGCATATCAAGGTTGGATTTAGTTGAATGTTTCATTTTTCCAGATGGGTCAACAAACAGCTGATTCTAAAGTTGGAGATTATGGGGCAAATACTGAAAGTAGTGTGCCCAATTCTGACAAACAACCATCAGATCTTGTAGCTGCTAAAAGCATTCCACAGTGTGAAAATTTAGCCCCTAAATCTATTATAAGTACAGCATCTCAAAAGAATAATGGCCCCGCCGGTGAAGCTTCTAAAATTTGTGGTTCTAAAAGATCCAACCCAGATTGCCCTGTAAACTCTCTTCAAAGCCAATGCCCTACAAGCAATTCTGGAAATGGGCATCTTGTATATGTCAGGAGAAGACCCGATGCTGAATTAGGTAAAAGTACAACTTCCGAGGATCAACATTGTGTTTCTGATCGCCTTGGAGGAAGGTAATCCACACATTAGTTATTGTCTTTATCAATTATGATTCACTTATTATCTATTTCTGCTTGGTTACTTCCATATAGATTCCTAGTAGAAATTAAAGTAGAAACCTTATTTAAGGACATCTTTATCTTGATCATCTAATACAAGCAATTCTGGAATATGTCAGAAGAAGACCCCCCGATGCTGAATTAGATAAAAGTACAACTTCTGAGGATCAACGTGAGCAGAAAAGATTTGGCGAACAGGATGAAAAAGTCCAACAAGAAGTTCAGATTAAGGAATCTAGCAATTGTTTACCCAAAGTTTTAGAAATTCCAAAGGCTTCCTTGGTATGCTACTTGCCTATGAAACCTTCAGCGGGTTCTTCTACCGAGAAGTGCAAGAACAATTATCCATTATCTAATTTAAGTAATCTCCATACCACTTCTACGAATCATCTGTTGGATACTCCAAAGAGAGCAAAACTTAAAGAGTGGGAAGAGCGATATTGCCGATTGCAGAATTTGTTGAATAGTTTGGAGCAATCAAAGCAAGAGGATTACATCCAGAGTATGTCCTCTAACATCATATATATCCAGAGGCTTCTTAATGTTTTCAGTAATTTTTTCTAATTCAATATTATTTGTTGAGCAGTGCTTAGATCACTCTCTTCAGTTGAGCTTAGTAAACATGCTGTTGAACTGGAGAAGAGGTCAATACAGCTTGCCTTGGAGGAAGGTAATCCTCATGTTTCTTTTTTTTTTTTTTTTTTTATTTTTATCATTCACCTATTATCTATTTCTGATCGGTTACTTGCATGCATTTAGGTCCCTAGTAGAAAGTAGAAACCAGAATTAAGGGCATCTTTATCTTGATCATCTAATAAGATGGAAATGAAGTTAAGGATGTGAGTGGTGTATTTAATATAATGTAAATTAAAATAAATGATGACATATAAGTAGTGATGTAGTTGTCGAGTGGTGTCAAATTGTTACACAAAGGGTAACATGAAATTTTTTTTACCAAGCAAGCCTCTCTTTCCTGCTCGCTCATAGAAAGAAGAAGTTGTTGATTTTATTTGGAAAATCTGTTTTAATTTGTGGTAGAAGGTAGGCAAAATGATATATGTTGTAGTGGCATTACACTGATTTGTTACGTTACGTTATGTTGTTGAATGTGGATGGGTCAGCAAAAGAAATGCGATGGGTCAAAGTGTTGGATGTACTGGGGAAGGATTGGAATTCCAGAGCATGCTAGCAAGGGTGAGGGTGGAGTTGAAGAGGCAGGCAGATGAGAGAAGATGTAGGAAATATATAATATAATATACATAGCAAGTGTATTGAAGCAAAGTTTGTATAGTGTAGTATTATTCATTGCTTTGAAGTCAAACTAACAGTGAAAAGTAAATAATAATGTTGTGAAGATGAGAATTGCGCTGTAGCTTTATGTGGCTTGCTGCAAAGCTGATTGATTAATTTGTTTAACTTCAATTCCAGGAACACTTCACTCCAATTTGTAACATATACTATACTATACCGTTGTAACATACATGATATGGTGTAGTGAAGTGAATTGTAGGCGTTGGCCATTTTAATTTGTTGTTAATCTATTATTATTCTTATTATTATGTTTTTTTACTACTTATACTGGCGTGAAGAGGGAGAGAAAGGGAGAATTGAAGCTAGCACAAGTAATTAGTAAGAAGAAAGAGTAAATATAATGCATGGATGCATGCATGTAAGATAAGAAATGAAGAAAAAAGAGGAAAGAAGAGGAGGAAATTAGTGTTGAGATGAGTTTCCCAGAATATAGCTGGGTTTGTTAATAAAGCGGAAGTAGTGGAGATAGAGGGTAACTAAGTGGGGTGGGATGGGATATGTGTGTAACTACTAACTAATATGCATAATGCATGCATGCCACCACAAGCTAATTAAGCCATTATTTTTATTATTATATATATACATGCCCCCGCGGATCGGATCGGATCGGATGTGGCTGCCTTCCATCTCCAATCTCCAATCTCCAATCTCCATTTAATTTGCTCCATCTTCTCCGCCCAATTTCTTCCATTTTCTCTTTTAATTTGTCCTTGGAGTTAGGAACTATATATAATAATAATATATAGATAGAGATGTGCAACTGAAAGAAACTACCCATCCCACTTTTTATTATTATTTTAAATTTTAAAAATCCAATAACTGCTCCTGGATTAGACTATATAGTTGGCGCTACACCATTTCATACAACTTTTGGTAATTCAATTCAATTCCTCCCTTCAATATACTATACCATGAACGCCAACACCAATGATACTCGTAACTTCATTCTGCCACTGCCACCACCACCACCACCGGCGGGATCAAGCGGCGCTAGCGATGCTACGGCTACTTTCCAGCAGCGGCATATGGTAGGAGGCGTCCTCAAGCCTCAGTGTTACCCCAAGAAAGTAAGAAGAAAGAGTAGTAAAGTAAAGCACATGGACATGGACCCCCTTGGCGGTGGCACTACAAGCAGCAAGCAGCCCAAATATCCAAAGAAGCCGCCGCTGACGCCGCCAGACCCGGATGCACCAAAGATCGCGAGGCCGTGTAGCGAGTGCGGTAAGAAGTTCTGGTCATGGAAGGCCCTGTTTGGGCACATGCGCTGCCACCCGGAGCGGCAGTGGCGCGGCATTAATCCTCCACCAAATTTCAGGCGACCTTCTCCTTCTCCTTCTCCATCACACTGCGGCTACGATCAGAGTAGTTTCAGTACATGGCCTCCTCATCATGATGATAATGATGATGAATGTGGGGTATCATCGCCCCCGCCCCCGTCCCCATCCCCATCCGGTGGTTACTATTATTATTATTATTCAGAAAAGATGGGAGGAGGAGGAATGACGGAGGAAGATCACGAGGTTGCCGCATGCTTGTTACTGTTGGCCAATAATGCTGTGCCTGTGGATCATCAGCTTAAGCCGCAACAGGAGGCGATTGGGGTAGGTTTTGGCATTAGCTGCTGCAGTAACAGTGATGGAGGAGGAAGAGGAACAATAAGAGAAGAAGATGATGATGAGATGATGATTAACATACATAATCATCATCATCATCAACGTCACACTTGTAGCATCTGTTCCAGAGTTTTCTCCAGTGGTAGAGCCTTGGGTGGACACAAGAGGTTCCACTGCAGCAGCAGGGATAGAGGAGGAGGAGGAGGAGGCAATAATCACAATATCCTCTGCTCTTCTTCTTCTACCAATAACTATTTGGACTTCAACTTGAACTTGGTCCCAACAACAACACCTGCTCCCGCTCCCCAGGATCGTTCTTCTTCTGCTTCCCCCCTCCCCACTTTGGATTTAAGCTTGGGACTTTGATTTACTTTTAACAACTAAACTAAATGCATACCCCCCTCTAAATGCACACCCCCCCTCCCCTCTGTAAGTACTAAGTAGGACTATATATATATATAGTTTAGTCATTAATGTGTGTACTCTAATCTTAGCCTGCCTGGCCTTCATATTATTATTCAAGTTGTTGGACATGTATTTATAAATAGTATACAAGCATTTGCTCAATTTATATATATATGATTTCACTTGCGTTACTTACCTGGAACTTTATTCATTATTGCTCCTCCATCTTCTCCAAACGATTTTTTTTTTTTTTTTTTTTCGTTTAAAAAAAAATAAAAAATTGTTTCATTCTCATCAAACTTGCTACACACACTATAGTACAATTCTTGTGTTTTTTGGTGAAGAAAATGTTTTTACATGCTATGCTGCTAAGTATCCCACCAAAAAACTAGGAATCTATCACAAATAATTGGAGGAAAGGAATCAAGAGTATTTGAATTAGCAGCCAGCACCCATTAAACCAAAATACATTTTTCAATAGTTTCAAGACTTGATGATGCGCCTGCACTTGCTGGACAGACCACAGTATGTATAGCTCACCTATTTCACACTCAAAATTATTGCAGCTGCTGCTTTAACACTCTTTCAATCAAATGAAAATTGACTCAGTAACTTTAAGCTTCAACCAACACCAATTATCCTTTTGGGCTAGAAAACTAGATATATATCCCTTGACCCCACCCATTAAGTACCCGCTTCAAGCTTCTCATGGCGATTGCACTGCCATCATCTCTGTACAGATAAGGCACAGTGTTAAGATTGCATTAAATGAATTGAAGGAGCCAGTGATACACACAAGTCAAGTGCTTAATAGAAGGTGCACCACATCACATATGGACCCATTTCTACTTAACTTTTGCACTATACTGTTTTGAAATAATAGAATGCAACAATCATTCAAACTTAAAACCAAAGATAACAGAAAGAGGACCATACCTGTGCACAATTTTCTGCCACTCAGCTGTTCCATACTTATTTTGTTTCTCATGATTTAACTCCATATAATTTTGGTACGCCTTGCTTCCCACCTTACCTGTGGAAACCATCTCCAGCATATGATCAGCAAGTTCATCAGATTCACGCTTATTTCCCATGTTACGTAACCCATCAATAACTGGCATAAATGATGCAGGATCAAACCCATATCCAGAACCCATCATCCTCTTCAAAACATCACGAGCACTTTCCAAATTATCGCCCTTGCACAGTTTGTCAATAAGATCTCTGTAAAGGAAGCCACCCACGTCAAAACATCTATCTAAAGCACCTTCAAATAATAACTTAGCCTCCATGATTTCTCCTCCAGCAAGCAACTCATTAAACATTATTCTATAAAGAGTTTCTCTGTGGCCACAGATACTTAGGGAAATTTCAAACAACTCTTGTGCTGGTCTGAACTCTCCAATCCTGCAGTATGTTTTAATTAATAATTCAAAGGTATACGTATTAGGTAGTGTTCCTTTCTGCAGCATTTCTTCTAAAAGAACAGTGGCTTCTTCACTTCTTCCTTCTTCACATAGACATTGAATCATAATATTGTAGGTGTAAACATTTGGAAAAATCCCTCTCTCTCTCATTTCATCCATCAGGCCAGACATTTCAAATATTTGTTTTTTGGATCCCAACACAAGGATCAGAGAGTTGTAAGTTTGCAAGCTCTTCTTGCAGCCCTTTTTCTCCATGTCCTTTAGAACCTGAAATGCAGAAGCTATTTTACCCCTGTTACACAAGTGATGCAAAATAGTATTGTAAACAATTGAATCAGGAAACAATTTTCTTTCCATCATCTCAACAAATTTCTTCTTGGCTTCACCTAGTCTCCCATCCTTGCATAAGGAATTGATAATGGTTGAATAAGTGATCAAATCAGGCAAGCACTTCTTCCGATCATTACCCCCATCCACTAAGCCAAGAAATAAATTTCCTAAATTGCCAAGGGCAGCACTTCCATGAGTCCACATTTCCCCAATAATTTCAACTGCTTTGTCCACCTTTCCAGTTTTAGAAATACCATCAATCATGATGTTACAACTCACACTATCCAAAGGGTAACCCCTTTCATTCATCTTTTGCAGCAACTTCTCTGCTTCTGATACCTTACCTTCTTTCCACAGACTATGCAACAGAGTATTACAGGTGTAAGTATTAGGAGCACAACCACTGTTCATCATGTCATTCAGGATATTGTTTGCCTCAATGACTTTACCTTTTATGCAGTAGGCATGGAGTAGAGTAGTGTAAGTGACTGTGTCTGGGGAGATTCCAGTAAATTTCAATAAACCCATCAACAATCCAGCATCACCAAGCATTCCATTCTTGCAGAGACCATCTATCACAATGTTATATGAATATATACTTGGTTCTATTCCTTTGTCCACCATTTCTGTTAAAAGAGATTGAGCCTCCAACATCTTTGCGTTCCTCATTAGCCCTAATAGCCAAATATTATAACTCCTCACATCAGAGAAAAAACCAAGTTTCTTCATTGACTCAACCAAGGATTTTGCTTCCTCCAACATTCCTTCCTTGCAAAATCCTTCCAACATCACATTAAATGTTATAATATTGGGCCTTGGCAACCCATACTCCTCATCTACTTGCATATCCCTGAAAATCCTTGAAGCCTCCGGAACCTTCCCTAAGTCACAAAGAGCTGAAATCCTTGAATTGAAGGTTACGATATCAGGAACAAGCCCATCCTCCTCTCTCATCCTCTGCACTAGTCTCTCAGCTTCTTTTACTTTACCTTCCTTACAAAACGTGGAAATCAAAGTATTGTATACAATCATATTAGGACAAAGACCCATCTTCTTCATTAACTCCAAAACTTCCAAACCTTCACAAGCAATTCCGGATAAACAATACCCTCGGATCAAAATGCCAAAAGTATATTCATTAGGCTCACATCCTCTGTCACTCATTTTGTCAAACAACTTGCGAGCATCCTGTAAGCGACCAGAATCACAGAGACCAGAGATCAGAAGGTTGAAAGTGTAAGTCTCTGGAGAAACCCCGGCAAAAATCAAATCTTTATACAACCAAGACGCAGAATTTTGACGGTCCTGCTTAAGAGAAGTTTGGATGAGCAAATTGTAAAGTGAAACCAATGGGGGTCGATCGGGGAAGAGCGTGCGGATAGACTGGAAGAGAGAAAAGGCGTGGTCGATGTGACCGGACTTGGCTACGATTTTGACGACGGTAAATAAAGTAGGAAGCGAGGCGTGTGGGGGTTGGGAGAGGAGGAAGTGATGGAGAGCGCGGAGTTGGGGGAACATATTGGCGCGAATGAGGATGCGGGTGATGGGAGGGATTGATTGGAAAGGGGGAGGAGTGGGAGCAGAGAGAGAGCGCTTGAAGAGTAGCCATGCTAGTTTGGGGTTGTTTGAATTCTTGATGAGAGCCTTAGTGAGCGTTTTGACTTGATCCATAAATCAATCCATTCTTGATACCTGTATTTGTATTCAGTAGTTGAGAATTGCGAGTGACCTCAGACTCTGAAGTCGAGAGATGAAATTCATGGAAATATACTTCATAATTGCAGATTTTATAGAGTCAAAACCAAAATGCCTGCTTGCTTGCTGCCAAACCATGAAATTAAGACATTATTAAGTACGTCTTGCCATTTCTCAGTTTTTTGAAAAGCAAATTCATTAATCATAATTAGGAGGTTTACAACAAAGTTCAATGGAATGATACAATCGTTATACCTTACACCACGGCGCGCGTAGCACTGTGCGTCGCGCGCCTCCCAAAACGACGTCGTTTTAGGAGGCGCGGTAGGAAGTTGCTGTGATTATGTGTATTTGTTCACACAATTATGTGTATTTGTTCATACAGCTATGTACATTTTTTATACAATTATGTACATTCTTTTTATACAATTATGTACATCCGAATCAGAAAATTTGTGTGTATTATGTTAAGAGTTGATGTGTATTATGTTAAAAGTTTATGTTTATTATGTATTATGTTAGATTATATGTATTATCTTTTAAAAATAGTATGTATATTTTGTTATATAACTATGTACATTCATGTATACAATTATGTGTATTCTAGTATAACATTATGTACATTTTTTAACAACGGGTTTTTTTTTTAAAGAAAAAATTACTGCCATTCACTGGGGCGGGAAATTTCAAAAAAAAAAAAAAAAAAAATTTAAAACGACGTCGTTTTGCATCTGGGCGCACAGTGCAACGCGCGCCGTGGTGTAAGATATAAATTGCCGGAATGATAAGTCATTCCTAGAGCTGTCAAAAAGGGCCCAACCCGAACACGGGCTGGGTTGGAGGATTTCTAGCCCGTCCCGTTTCCAACCCGGCCCGTGTAACCCGTGGGGGATACGGGTTGGCCCGTGGGTTACACGGGCCGGCCCGTATAACCTGTACCACCCCACCACCAAATGTGTTGGATTTCTAGCCCGTCCCGTTTCCAACCCGGCCCGTGTAACCCGTGGGGGATATGGGTTGGCCCATGGGTGGCAATTTATATCCTACACCACGGCGCGCGTTGCACTATGCTCCCAGATGCAAAACGACGTCGTTTTATTTATTTTTTTAAAAATTTTCCGCCCCAGTGAATGACAGTAGTTTTTTCTTTAAAAAAAAACCGCTGTTCAAGAATGTACATAATGTTATACTAGAATACACATAATTGTATACATGAATGTACATAATTATATAACAAAATATACATACTCTTTTTAAAAGATAATACACATAATCTAACATAAATACATAATAAACATAAACTTTTAACATAATACACATCAACTATTAACATAATACACACAAATTTTCTGATTCGGATTTACATAATCTATATATATATATAAATAAAATCCTCCTAGCCAAGTTTTTCCCCCAAAACTTAAGGGTATTTGTGTAATATCCAAATTTAATTAATTAAAGAAATTATATATAAGATTTTAAGGGATATTCCATGTGCAAATTAAGTAAATTAAAGAAATTATATATACGATTAAGGGATATTCCATGTGCAGATTAAGTAATAATATATATTAGGTTAGAAATTATATACAAGATTAAGAGATATCAAGTATTAAGTAATAATATATATTAGGTGTGTGAATAATATATATTAGGTAATTGGTAAAGTAAAGTATTAAGACATTTACGTGTATACATACACTAGTATTTGCACCCGTGCGTTGCACGGAATGAATTTGTTATAATATTTTAAAAATATTTAGATCGATATGCAATTGTATAAATTATAACATCGAATATTATATAATATAATTGAAGAATTGAGTTGCACCGATTATGTTTCCTGATGTTATCAATACTTGAATTCGAGTAAATAATTGCCCAATTAATAGTTAACTTGTAGATATACGCATTCGGTGCTACAACTTTAGAGATTTTATATATCAGTGTTTAGAATTTGTATTTATTGGACTAATTAGCTCGTTGTCTAGCAACTCAGTTATAGAAATTATTTATACGGAAGATATATTTTCTATGTAGATATATAGCAATTTTGTCATCTTTGTATATAAAAAACCATAATATCAATAACTTGAATTATACATTATTGAAAATCTCTTTGTAGACAGCATTGGTAGTAGTAACGGAATTTTATCCATCCTCGTCTAGAGTTGAAACCATCAGACCATCAGGATGGATGACTCGGAAAAAATTCACATACAATTAACCGTGATTAAAGACGAATTTTTTTAGTAATAACTCAACGTGAGTTAGTGTTTGACCCTGACTTTTGTTGATAGTCATGGCATATGCGAGCATCAACGTGAATTGTTTTCGTTAGAACTTGAATGACAATCTCGTATCAGAAGGGCGAAAGACATTTTAATTGAAGATTTTACTTTTATTAATAGTATAAATATAGATTGGTGTAAATAATAATTAATAAATTATTATTTTCTTATAAAATTACATATAATTTCAAATGAATTTTCTCATTTATTACGCAGAATTTGTTTCCATTATTCTCACAATTATAATGGTTTAATTATTCTCAGCATTTGATAACCATCATCCATTTTTAAGTACACATTGACTTCAATGTGTGATAAAAATTCATTAGATATTAGTTAGTTTTCATATAAAATTTTGTTACCAATTAAGCTTTATTATATTTTTTTTTTACCAATTAATTAATATTCATATTCATTTGGGCGGGAATGTTGAAGATGATAATTTTACTTTTATTAATAGTATAAATTGATGTAAATAATAATTAATAAATTATTATTTGTTTATAAAATTACGCAGAATTTCAAACGAATTTTCTCATTTGTTACGTAGAATTTGTATCCATTATTTTTATAATTATAATAATTTAATTATTCTTATAATTTGGTAACCATTTTTCATTTTTATATATGATGGTTTTAGGGTTTTCGGGCCCAAGGAGGTCCAACACAACCTTTGGCTGGTGGGTGCACCTTTCAGTAAAATGTATGCCTATCTCGGAGATAATGCGAGTACTCGGAACCTTTTTGGTATTCTCCCCCTCTGGGTGTTCAATCGTCTGTCCTTTTACAAGAATGGAGGAGCCTTTATATAGCGGCTCCTCCTCTACCGACTTGAAGGCCCTTAATGGCCGACTTCAAGGCTAATCAAGATATGGAGCCGTTGGACGCCATTACTTGGTCGACCAACGGCTCTTCCAGGCTTGTAACAGCCTGACCGAGTCCCGCTTTCAATGCCCTAACGGCTTCCTTTTAAACGAGCCTCTTCAATGCTCTCAACGGCTCCTTGAACCGAGTCTTCCCCTGGGCTTGGGCCTCAGTCGACTCCTCGTCTCGGCCTAAGCTCCCACTGGGCTCCTCTTTAGTAGCTCTGAACCGGGCCCCGTGCTTGGGCCTGGGCCGGCTCCCGGACTCGGCCCAATTGCTTTTCGGACCCCTCTTTACACTGGCCCACTTCTCCTATCTATTTTCTTTGGGGCCCCTATCTCTTGGGTCGGGGTCCTCACCCCATCAACTAGTCCCTCACTTTTCCATACCCGGTCCGCTAGCCTGGGTTTGGAAAAGTAGCAACTGTCCATCTCCTTCAATCACCGTATCTTCGCCTTGAATAACTTTTGGTAACGTCCGGATCCTCAGCCATTCCCTCCGGATCTCGCGGGGCCGTTTGGATTCTTCCGTCTAAACTTGGCACCTATAAATGGCGTCCTTCCTTCTCTTTCACCTTCTCAAGTCTATCATGGGTCGTTCTCCTCTGAAAGGAAAACGGATTGACTTCGGGTCTCCTTGGCGTCCGCTGCCCTCCAAGCGGACTCGGCCTGAACGGGAACACAAGAAGAAGACTCCTCGTCCAGCCCCTCAGAGGTCTCCTGCCGGCGCTATGTCCTCAGCTTCTCAGCCGCCGACTCCTACTCGACGCAAGGTTGCTCCGCCGTCACGCCATTCGCCTACTCCCACGACTGCCCGAGTGACTTCTCAAGATGGGTCCTTTGTTGAGGTGGCGGTTCCAGAGCAACTTACTTTCAGAATGACCTTCTCGATTCCGTTGGACGACCTGGACGGGCCGGTTACAGGCCTGATGAATGATGAGGATTACGCCCGCTACCTGGAGGTGTATCCGGATGACGAGGAGCCAATTGCGCCACCACTCATGCCAGCTTTCTGGGACTCGTTCTGTCCATCCCCGCCTGGACCATCGGGGGGGTTCTTTGGGGGCGACTCCTCCTCGCCTGGCGAGTGATCGTATGTACCGGAGTCGGCCATAGTTCGGAGGAATTTCTTTTAGGAGCATTTTCATATTCCTTATTGTAATAAGCTCCTTGCCATTTGTATCCTCCTTTTTGCAATAATAATAATAAATGCTATCCTTGCCTTATGTTTTGTCGTGTTCTATTACGTACTCATCTGGACGATTGGTCAAGGAGTCGGTCACGTCATCAGAATCTTTTCGGTCTGACACCTGCAAGATTCCCCATATCTTGGGCGAATCCAATTTTTTCTGCGTTGGCGTGCGAATCTCGCTCTTCTCGAGCGGATCTGATGGAACTAATCTCTGACAGAGATTCGCGTCATCCGTCTAATCCGGCTCAGTTATGTCAGTTATAATCTCCTCCGCGATTATCGCCTAGGTATTTGCCTTTGCTGGGCTATATAAAGGCCCTTTACAGTTGATGCAAATCGCAACATTCTCAACTTTGCGAAGGTACGACGCTATGAGTTATAGGGACGGTGATCGCCGCTGGTCCATTCGTAACAAAGAGCATGCTCGTCTGGAGCAATTGAGGCAGAAGAGGTTGGCTAACGGAGGTCGTTTGGTGGGCGACTCGGCCTCAGACCCCATCGTGGTGCCTCCAGACATGCTGGACCTGATGTGTAGGGAGCCCATCGACGCGGAGATGGAACCTGGGGTGGTGATGGAGCCTGTGGTGGAGGATCCCGAACCAATGGTGGAAGAGAAGTGGGAGGCTCCTCCCCTCTTCGGTGTGGCCATGTCGCCGAGCGCTCTGGAGAGGCCCTTGCAAATGATCGATGACGGGAAGCCCGCCGTGTATCTGGACGAAATGCCTGAGCCTGAGCCGAGTCCATTGCCTTTCCGCTCTCAGTACCTCCTGGAAGGTC